CTTACGGGATTAATTACCTTCCTGCTGACGCGCTTGGAAATACAAATCAATCCATGGAGCCGCCACTGGGCATCTCTTCTTCTTCCTCCTCGAAGTGAGTACAGGGGAGTTAGAGCCAAGAAGGGGCCGATTTGACAGGTCAAGAAACAAATTAACGTCATATCGGACGCTTGCATTGCATTGAATTCAGTGCAATGAACGTAACCCGCGGAACCTATTCCAGTGGGCCTTGCTTTCAGAACGAAGGTTTCCTTTTATGTTTCGGGATTTGGCAACTCTGGTGTTGCAATCTGGCAACTGACAGCTCTATCGTAAAGTTTTATTGTTTTGAGGTTGTATGTACTCAGAAGTTTTGACATTCGAGCGCTACTCGTATTTGTGTTGTTTACGGTACTTAAAAGATTCATCTTAGCCCAAAAATGGAATAAAAATCGTGAAATTTTCGTGCGATTATTTTTTACAACTTTCGACGTGGATTAACTCAGCAACAGTGCATGGATGAACTTAATTCAATTTTTGGCGAAGAAGGTCCACTCAAGGACCAGTGTTTATCGATGGTATGGTGAATTCAATCGTGGTCGTAGTACACTCCAAGACGAAATTTCGCGAAGGTCGTCCAAAATCAGTTTTGTTCGAAAACCATTGATGCTCTGCTGTGAACTGATCTTGCAAGATTGTCATGTGACCTATCGTGAGTTGAGACACCTTAGGCATTAGTGGGACCACATACATTTAATATTGCATTGAACATTGACTGCCAAAAAAAATTTGTTCGCGTTGGATCCACACAATATGCCAATCGCTCAAAAAAAGGCTCGTGTCGATTGGTCGAAAGAAATGCTCAAAAAATACGACTGCGGTGCTTCGAAGCACGGCTATGACATCGCGACAGGTGATGAATATGTCTTTATATGCGTATGAGCCCAAAGTAAACAGCAGTCGACTGTATGGGTGTTTCAAGATGAGCAAAATCCAACAAAAGTTGTTCGCTCACTCCAACAGATGGTCGCCTGTTTTTCGGGAAAACTGGACATGTCGCAACCGTACAACTAAAACAACGCAGAACAGTCAATTCTGAGTGGTACACAACGATTTGTTTGCAGCTGTCCTCAAGAAATCAGAAAACAACCACCGAAGATGGATCACTCTTCACCACGACAATGCGAGCTCTCCAACATCACAGCACCCAAAACATCGATTTGATGAGTTCATCCGTCGTATAGTCCTGACTTGGCACTGAATGACGTCCTTTTATTTCCGTACGTAAAAAACAAACAGATGTCAACGTTTTTCGATACCTGAAGAAGCGGTTGCCTGCATTCAGAATGCATGTTTTGGAGATACCTCAATCAGTGGCGAAAGTGCTTCGACAATTGGTAAACGCATGCAAAAGTGTATAGATCTTCATGGGGAATATTTTGAAAAACAATAAAGTGATTTTCGATAATTTAATATTTATTTTTGTTCTCTAATCCTGAAATATAAAAGGCAACCCTCGTACTACCTAATCTCTCTCTATTCTCGCTTTACTCAGTGGTTAATATGTGGTAGGATTTCATTTTTTCGTTCGGCCGTAAGACAGAAAATTTTCGAAAAACTAGTCCTTCTTTAACAGCAGATGCTTTCTCGCATGCTTGTAACGGCTACGTAATATTTTAATAGCACTTGATTTGGGAAAATCTTGTTTAAAAAAAAAACGATATAAGAGGTCCCAGAAACAAGTATTTTCGTGATCATCTTGACGTAGATTTTCATTACATAACTTTCTCTATATTACGGATACGAAAAAGTAAAATCTTACCTTGTCTTAAATACAGATTTCGTGTCCAACAATGGACTTTTGCTAAGGGGCTTTTTTATTTTTTTCCCTGACCTGACTCTGGGTCACTTAAGGAACACTTATTCTATTGACACCAACAACAAATATACCTGTTAATTAATTTTTTTCTCGATGCTTTCATTTCAATATGCGATTTGCTCCTAAAAAGGAAAATTAAACATTTCACGGAAAAATAATATTAATAATAAAATCAAAACGTACCTCTAAATTTTCATCTTTACTTCCAAAATTAAAAATCACTGTTAAGAAAAATGAAAGGGCAGGCTAAAATCATGAAACATGATCAAGATCTTTTGAATAACAAAACAAAAGCAATGTGGTTAAGGGATACAGAAAAAATATGACATCAACAAGAAACCTCATTTAGAATGTTGTTTTAAAAGATAATCATAGAAAACTAAACTATCTGGCATCAATGATTAGTCTCTTCAACCAATGTTTTTCAAGTATTGCAGTTGATCTCACGAGGTGTCTATGTCACAAAATTCAACATCAGACATTTCCCAAAAAGTGTTTAGCATGATGTTTGTTTCCAACCTTCTTTCTATGAAATTCTCAAACTAAAAACTAAATATTTGTCTGATTTAAATGAATTTCCAGATTGTCTAAGACTTGTACGCCTGTCATCATATACCCTGTAACACATATTTAAGGCATCCGCATTCCAATATTTCTTCATATTTTCACATCAGCTAAGATTAGCTTGCACTTCAAAAAAGAACACAAGTGGGACTTTTACCACTACCTTCCTTGATTTACTCAAGTTTAAATGCCAATTCAAATCTTTTCTGCTGCATCCAGATTGAAAGCGGGTGACCTGCTTTTGTCTTGTATCAATGCTCATCTGACAGACAGATTACAATATGTTGTTTGTTATCAGGGGCTTTTTCTTATCCCCTTTTGATGTGAAGTACATAGTTGCATAGGGTTACCGATGAAGATCCCTACTATTTAATTTATTCATAAACAACCTATCCAGAGTAATTAAATATAGTAATATTTTGCTACATGCAAATGACACCAAAATCTTCTGCAAGGGATCTGCTGCTGCTGATGCCCTACATCTGCAAGTGCTGCTATTAAGTTTGCAGGATTGGTGCTTCACCAATGCCTTGATGCTTCATGATGACAAGTATTTTTTATTGAGTTTATCCAAGAAAAAGCTTTTTTTATCATTTGAATATTTTTTGAATAACATACCCCTTAAATCAGTTTACAGCATCAAGGATCTTGGAAGTAATTTTTGACAGAAGATTAAACTTCAATTTTTATTTTTCATGGACTATAAGCAATGCTCTCAAAACTTTTCTACCTCCTATGCTGTGCTTCCCTTTTATCAACATTAAAACTTTTCCATGGTTATATTTTTCTTTTGTGAGGCCTTTACTCAAATATAAGTCGGTTATTTGGTCCCAGTGTATGTAAAGGGATATAGACAAAATTGAACAAATTCAGAATAAATTTATTTGCAAACTAGCCTTTTTCATCCATTCACCAATGGCATGATGTGAATATGACACCAGAATACACAAATCTTTTAATTAACAATCATTGCAAGCAAGAAGAATTTTGGCAGATCTGCTATTTTTCCAAGACATTATTTCTAACCACATCGAATGTCCTGACATTATTACTAAGATTTCACTTAATGTACCCCACTCGAATCACTAGACATTATGTGCCTTTTTAATTATAATTTAAAAGCAAATGATGCTCTTAATGACGTGTTTGTTAGAGTACATAAACTTGTGAATCAATATCGTAATCTAGTTGGGGCAGTCTGTACATAATGTAACACAAATTTGGTGTATTTTCATTATCTCTTCTCCCTGCTGTAACACACTTGTAACGCATGCTTTAACCTCCCTCTAATAATTACGTAATGCTTGCGACATAATCCCCCCCCCCCCCCTCCCCATTACAATTAGCAAAAATCAATTATACAGCAGAAAGAAATTTTATTTATTTATTTTACATATTAATTGTATTTCTATTATATATTAAAATTTATGACAATTAAAGCGAGAATTAGTTGGCAGTGTGGGCTGCACATAACAAAAAGATTGTGGATTTAATAAATAAGGAGAACAAAAGAAGTTTCAGAATAAGCTGTGCTGAAGTTGTTGTGGATGAGGCATAGGCTTTGAGACTACTGTGCCAATTAAATTGATAGAAAATACTATAGAACGGTTTTGAATACTTTCTTTGTAATCTAACAGATTCTATCTATATCATTATTAACAAAATATTTCCATTTATTCTAACAATTTATACACTGTAACTTTTTTTTTAAACATGAAACTTTGTGATTTTAATTTAATTTGTTAATAGGTCAGTGTTTGAATAACTAGTATAAGACTGAAAAAAGGAATTATTCCAGAAAATGTTGAATGATTTTAAAAATAAATATTGGCATTATGTAACACTAAACTATGACCCACTACTCCTACATAACACTGTATCATTGGTTCAAATCCCCTCTTCTCCCTCATTAGCACTGTGTAATTCATGAACGAGTCCTTGGCTTCTTTAATCCTTGTATCTCAATTTTTAAAACACAACTTTATATCACTCTGCATGACTTTTGTGATTGACTTTCTGTGATTATACGAGTGCTTCTGTGATATTTTATGATTTTGTTTCTTTTGTGGTTTCTTTTGTTGCTTTATAACGGGATCATTCTGTTTATGGTAATAAATAAATAACCATTTCTATACAGAGACCAAGCTGAACTACAAATAGAAAAATAATTTAATTTTAACAATGATATTTAATGCATTAGCAAGTACTCTAGTAGGGATGAAACAAAATAGTACTCTTTGCCAATCCAAACATAAAGCTGTGATATCTAAGATTAATAATACAGTGATAAGAAACCACAGTTGACAGAATTTCACATGGTATCAATAAAACATCTCTCATATTTGAGAGACAGTGCATTTTTTGGAATTATTTAGGCCAGCAAGAGGCAGAAAAACCACTACAAATGTGACAGTTATCTCAGAATCTGGTAATAATACCTAAAGTGTATTTGCAGGAGAGCAGTGAGATTTACACAAAAGTGTTATTGATAAAACAAATTCAAATGCTAACTCCTTCCCAAGAAAAAATAATTTTAGGTCAAGTAAAACAAAATAATCAAAAACACTGTGATAAACATATAAGAACCATGATAGAATTTTTTGTGTTCAAGACATTTTCTCATTGAATGTTATTAGGTAGAAAATAATTTAATCTCAAAACAAAAATATAATTCAACAATTTTAATTATTAATTTCAAGTAAATGTAATTGCATATAGAGTGCTATTTAATATGATGGTTCATGTTTTTGGTGAAATAAATTTTCAGACCTATTCCAATTGTGCCAAAAATCACATATATTGCAAGTAATCAAGTTTTAAAACTTCCGTTTTCAGCAAACCATTAAAAAAAACAATGTATTCTTAATTACATTTCTCTTCCATCAACTTTATACACTGCCATGTGACAGTGCCAATTGACAGGGGGATTGCCCAGAACTGTCACCTAAAGAGTTTTTGTTGGAAAATAACTTGTCCCTACCATGGATATAAATTAATTAATTCATATCTATGTGCCTCATTTATGATTTTCACACTCTGAAAGTTTCAAATACAAGAAATTTGACGTGAAAACTTACCCTGAAACTTTGTTTAAAACTGTTAACAAAGATATAACTACTTAACTATCAAATAAAATGTAATTGTTTATTACCTTGGATACATGAATGACATGGATTTCCACTAAATTTTCTAGCCTCTCATGGAATATTGCAGCATTTTCATAATTATGAGATGAAACAAAGAAAAAGTCAATAAATTCAATATAAAGTATAGCTTTGTTTTATTATCAAAGATTCACAGTAGTCTGATTAGTAGCACAACCAGGACAAACATGCATTGTTTCATGAATGAAAATATCACAATCCAAGCAAAACACTTGGGCACACCGGTTGCACTCGTACACCTAAAACAAAATCAAGTGATGACCATTAACACAGTATTGGAACAAATTCTTAGAATTCTCTTAAAATATAATACACACTCTCATACATTACATATTATAGTAAATATAAATACATTACAAGTTGTCTTAAAACAGCCCATGCTTTTTAATGTTATTTGTAGCTGTGTCACAACACACCCATTATTATTATTTTTTTAATTCAATTTGAATGAAAATGGGACTTCTGCCATTAAACTCACTGTGTAGTACCCTATTCTTATAAAAGAATACTATTCCATGTTAGGATTTGAACTATAGCATTTAGTTTTCCCAAGAAGGATCTTTACCCCTACACTTTATTAGTTCTTACATGTTTCAATTGAATCTCAATGTTGTAGTAATTCTAACTCCTATGTTGCAAAATTGTCAAAATATAACTAAAAATTACTAAAAAATGTATATATCTGTGTGTATGTGTCTGTCCAAGATCACAAAGACAGTTCCGTAGCGATCTCGGACCAGACGATCACGGGTTGAAGTCCTCCCTCGGGCATGGTTGTGTTGTGCCTATTTCATTATTTATCACCATTACCCAGGGCTATAGATCGACTTTTAATAGGAAAGACCATTTTGACAGCTAGGGCTGGCAACATAACTGAAGGTTCTGTGGTCCTTGTGTCCTTCAGCCCATTTGACTCTCCTCCTTTCCTTTATTTGTTTGCAGTATGCTAATTTGTACATGGCTCCGATGCTTCCTTTTGCGATGTCCGCTCCGATGAAAATATATTTGCCGCGAGAAATAATTGAAATTAGGAAGAGCTCTTCTGTAATTTTTTTTTTTAATTCACATTATATTGAATTTACTTTTTGTGTGATAAGTATTATGTTTATTTGAAAACCGAGCCTGAATGTCAGGTGGGTACTGCAGCATATGTTTCCTGTGCGGTAAAGCGGCAGGCTGTAATCGAGAACATTACATTGTGAACCATGAGAAACCATAATGTCTTAACAGGAACCATGTACAAACATAAAATCTTTACGATGAGGTGTGGCCGAACAATTATCGCAGTAGAGGATTACTTCTCTGAATTACATGTGATGGTCACTTGTTCAGCAAACTGTCATTGTGGCTCATCCTTAGGTGGATTCTACCAGGGGTATAATAATTGATTCAGCATTAAAATGCTGATCCCCCCAATAGAAAGTCACATGCACCTACCCCGATATTCAAAACTGAGCCCCGGTGGGATGCACATTTTGCGTTGCCACACAATGGCTGTTTTCATGAAACAAAAGAAATTAATAAATAATTTTTTTTTAAAAAAACAACATAAAATAATTTAATATTGATGAATATATTGCACTAAGCAAAAAATATCTTCAATCATTATGTTGTTGTAGGGGATCAAAAGAATGTTCAACTTTTGCAATTTTAAAAATTTGGAGATTAGGAGATTCCTTGATGAAATAAAAGCACTTTTCTTTCAACACCATTATCTAGACCACATTTTTTATAAATATGGCATTCTGAAGTTATCCAAAACAAGTAATTTACTGTTCCAAACCTGTAGTATCAAATGAACAAACTAAAGTGATGTTTGTAGATTGCAGGAAAAATGAAATAAAGAAAAATATATATTTGTGGATATTGTAAGAAGTCAGTCGCAAAGAAGGCAGCGGTTTGAAGAAACTGCGAAGCTGCCGATCATAAGAGTTGAAATGAGCAAGTGAGGTGAAATGTAGATAGAGAGAGCAAACTGGTGAATTGAGTCGACAGGCGGAATTCGAATGCACAACAAACAGACTATGGCGAATAAGAAAGGAATAAAATAATAAAGGAAGAAATGGGTATAATGATTGAGAGTTTAGATGATAAATTCTCATAACTAGAAACCAAATTGACGGAGAAGATTGCACAACAACAGAAAGAAGGAATGGATACCGATAGAGAGGATGTGAAAGAGTCATCAAGTCAAATTGAGAAACTACTGGATGATTTCCAAGGTTTTGATGCAAAATGTGAGAAACTCGAAACTAAGGTTGATAAAGTGACAAAAGCACAGAGGACTACTGCTGATAGGATTGATAATTTGGAACGTAGGATTGAAGGGAAGAATTTGTCTACTGCTTGGATCCTCGAGGAAATGGATGAATGAGAGCTATGAAAGTGTAAAGTACATGGAGTTGAAGAGTCCCACAATAGTATCATAAAGGTGCGTATCAATGAAGATCTGGAGACAATGAAGAGATTGCTTGAATCCAAGGAAAGTGAAGAAATGAACATGATAGCAAAAGTCATCTGCCTTGGGAAGTTAGAGAAAGAAAAATATGATAATCTCAGTGCAATCAAAATTATAATGAAAAATCCTAATGTGGCAAAAAGGATTCTGGTTAATTGTGGAAAAAAGAAAAACCGGAAATCAATACAAAAAATGACTATACACCAATGCAGAGGAAAGAGATAAAATAGCTGAGGGATACACTGAAAGGAAAGGAAAAAGGTGATCCAGATTTAAAAAACAAATTTATAAAGGGATGTCCACGTATTGTAAAGACGATGGGAAATGAAAAGATGCAGCACTGACGAGAAAATTATTCAATCCAAAAATCTTATACACAAACATATCATCCATTATAGCTAAATTTAATTTATTCTTGGTGGAAATTAATGAAGTAGAATCAGGTATTATCCTAATAGAGACATGGTTGAAGTCAACATACCAGACTCTATAATAGATATCCCAGGATATAGTATCTATAGAAATGACAGGCTGAATAAACAAGGAGCGGGACATGGCAATATATATTAAGCGCTAAATTCATGAGAGAGAAGTTATAATATCGAGAGTGAGAGAATTTGAGTAACTGAAAGGTGAAGCGTTATGGCTGAATATTACAGTGGGTAAAATACAGTTGATTATAGATGGTATCCATAGATCTGCAACAGCTTAACTAGCATTAAAGAATGACTGTAAACTCAGGTTATAGATAAGGCATTGACTTCAAAATGAACTTGTGGTCATTTTTGGAGACTTCAACTTTCCAGGCATTCTGTGCACAGATCATGGAGCCAATGACAGAATAGAAGGTGAATGGGAATTCCTAAAATTTTACATTAAATCAAACCTTAGTCAACTCATGAAGGAGCCCACAAGATTTACAGCACAACAAAACGCTATATAACTTGACTTGGTGATGACAACAAATGAGGAGATCATTACACCGCCTAACCAAAGACTTCAAATTGGCTTGAGTGATCATCTGGATATACTAACTCAATAGTTGTAAAAAGGAAAACTTCACAGCTGATGAAATCTCAAGATGTACTTATAACAAAGTTGACTATGAGATAGTTGAAACACTCTTGAAACAAATCTACTAGCTGGGAAAGTAATCAAACATTATGACAAATTTTGGAAGATATCCCATTACCTGTTCAGTGCACACTCTCCAAAAATTAATAGAAGAAAAGGGTTAAATAAATCGTGGATCATCAGAGAAATCGTTAAACTATCTTGGATGAAATGCCATGCATGGAGTAAATATAAAAGCAGTGATAGGGACGAGGATTATACAAGCACACTGAGTAATTAATAATGATTTGACGAAAAAAAAAATAAATAAATAAAACCACCACAGACACACACACACGATGACAAAAACAGAAATATGAAGAAGGTTCCAAGAGGGAACTAAACATTTCTACCACTCCATTCAGAATCCAACAACTGGAAAAACAGGCATACCTTCTTGCGTTGAGGTGACGGGAAAATTATTACCAGAACCTCAAAGAATTGCTGAAGCATTTGCAGACTATTTGTAAGAGATAAATACAACTGAACCAGATGGATCTCTTCCAACAATTGAAGCAAGACTGGGTGAACCGATAGAAGATATGTGTAACTGACACTCAGATGATGTGTGGATTTCGTAAAACTTCAGTAGGAGGACCAGAAGCAATTCGTACAGTTTACTTGGAAAGATGTGCTTTACAATTAGCTCCCACCCTGTCAAAGATCTTCAGGAAATCATTAGACAGGGGTACAGTTTCTCAACAATGGAAGTCAGCTATAGTCACCCCAATCTTTAAAAAGAGCGATAAGCAATTGCAAAGTAACTACAGGCCTGTTAGTATAATTAGTAATGTAGGAAAGGTAATGGAGAGACTTATGGCATTTTTATTGTGATAATTTGACAAATTACGCTCTTGATAATGACATTGTTTCTCAACAATAGCAAGGCTTCATTCCTGGAAGATGAACCACGACTAACCTACTTGGCACTCTAGAAGTTTGGACTAAGGCTATCGATGAAGGAAAACCCTTGGATGTCATTTAGTTAGATTACACTAAGGCTTTTGACAAAGTTCCACTCAAGAGGCTGATAACAAAACTTGAGTCAATCGGGAATAAGGAGAAAATTACTTCGCTGGATCCAGGAATATTTGACAAACAGAACGTTCCAAGTGCATATTGGTGATGCACTCTCCGGACCTAGACCAATAAACATCTGTGTTCCTCCAGGATCGGTTCTTGGTCCCTATTTATTTGTTCTATCCACCTACACCTTGGGAAGAGATTTGAAATCACAGTGAAACTCTCGTGCAGTTGATACCAAGCTTTATAGAAATCCAATATTATTTCAAAGCGAAATTCAGATAGACCTGAACACTATTGAGAAAAGGTCAAATATGTGGCTGTTGGCCCCGAATAGCAAGAATTGCATGGTCCTTCACTTGGGTTGAAACAACCCTAAATTCCATTATTTGATACAGGCACAAACATCAGCAGCCACAACAAATGGGAAACCCAAACATTGGAAGTTACCACACTCTACCTTATAAGAGTTTTCTCCAAAATAAAATCGCCATTAATTAAGAAGATCTATATGACATATCACACCAATTGTAGAATATGCCTACGTAGTTTGGTTTCCATATTGCAAAAAAGATATAGACACACTTGAGAAAATACAAAGGAGATCAACAAAAATTGCTTTAAATCTTCAGAACTTGGATTATGAAATAAGATGTCACAAGATGTCCATTATCACATTGGAGTTGACAAGGCAAAGAGGGAATCTCATTGAGACTTATAAAATCCTGAATAAGGCCAAACATTGGAAGATTTTTTTTGAAAGGAGGCCGGTATAAAGGACTTAGAGGACACAGCTTAAAAATTAGAAGGGTGCAGACTAGAACCAGGCAGCGACACAATTTCTTGGAAAACAGAGTAGCCAACGCATGGAACAATTAACCTGCAGAGAGTGTTTTTAAGCGTCAACAACTTCATTTACAACTTCCTTGGATAAATATTTGTTGGGGAGATGAATTAATATTCCTACAACTTTTCCTTCTATTCTTTTTCTTTTATTATATAATCCATTACATATGCTATATTGTATAGTATTGTTTACCTCATATAAATATGTACGATGAAAATGATACAAACACATACAATGTGAGTGGATATGTGTGTATCAGCTTTTGTTGCTGCCATTGTATTAATAAATAAATAAAATGAATAAATAATATTCAATTTCAGTTGTGTATTTTTCTCACTTACACATTTTTTCCCTTCCCTGAAAAATGTATATGTGAAGTTTTACTGTAAATAAGTTTCTAAAAATTTTAAATTGAAAAAATTTGAATTACAATCCATTATATCACATTCATAGTGGTCACACAATAAAAAGACAATGTAGAAGATGACAACATCTGTTAGTCAACCTTACAACCTTAAAGCGTAAAATATTTTATTATTCTTCATTGGCCCTTAGAAAAAAAACTAATGTAAACAAAACTGAAGTATTCATCCGCCGTGCTCCAATTCTAAATCCCTGACTCCGGTTGCACTTTCCAGCCACATGCGCATGGTAAAGTCAGTGACTGCTTAAAAAGCGAACCCGACTGATGCAGAGCACCAGGCAAATATTAACATTTCTATTATTTTCACAAACGCATCTTTATAAACATTGACAGAAACTACTTGTAGTATAACTACTCAAATCACCCTTAACCATCAGTTTGCAAAGTTATGTTTTTAAAAAATCTTCATGAGACGAAGTGAGCAAGAGAATGTCAATATCCAAATTACAACTTATGATCACTCTGCCTCAGGAAGAGGTAATTCCTTCCATGTATGAAGCAAATAATTCAGTGCTGCAAGAGGAATCTTTGGCGATGACTATATCGCCTACAACACTCTCACTGAAGACATCTACCTCCCACATCCTCTGTTTCTCTTTAATAGTATGACTAACTGCACTACATCTGCGTTTTGGTGCGTACTTTTGAAATACCTTGCTTGACAAGTTTTAAAAATGTATTAAAACTTTCAATACCAAACGCTTTTCACCACTCCATAATTAATAGTTTACCTCTGTGGTGTTTTACTAGGAGTTGCACCTCTCCCTGACACCTTCAAGCATACGTTTCTAACTGCTTGACAAAAAATCTAAACTCATCTGCTACATGACCATACCGACGCCTCCCACCATGTGTGACCAAACCATTCTTAAGAAGTGAACAACTTCAGTTACTGCATCTGCATGGGGTTTAGTTTGCCTTTCGACTCATGGACACATTTTTCTCTGCTAGCGCTGATACCAAGCAGGCGCTAGACACACAACTGTCACAACATCGATATTTCCTTTTCCAGAAGGTTAGGAGTGAAACAATGGTCTCCTTATTTTGGAATTTTAATTATAGCTTGTATGTTTCATACAGAATTTTAACATTGTGAGAGAAATGAGTTACTATATCGAAAAAATATTTTTTTCTGCACATAAACAAGCCTGAGACCTAATTGCATCAACTAACCAATGGCAAGCATCCCAAAGCATATACTATTGTTTACAACCACTTTTTTCTTAGGGTGAACAAAGAATAAGTTATTTTTGGATCTTATGAATGAATAGGAGCATACTTACATGTTTATCACTGTCAACATAGAGACGTCGACAAGCAAAACAATGACTAATAGAGTCTTCAAATTCACTTCTTTCTCTCTCGACATATACATCAACAGGAAATAAATGATGATATGAGCGAGCCAAGTGAGGTGCAGAGACTAAGGTCAGATTGCATGCTCGACATTCCACAGGTAATTCACAGTATTTACTGGAACACTGGGGGCAGAAGTAGCCCCCAGCCTTAAGGCCACCTCCAGGTTCACCATCGCTCACTTCCACATGACTGTAACATAACAAACTGCAATTACATCTGGATTCTCACTGCAAAATCTCTACATTCTATCACTTAAAAGGACACTTAGGTAGTAGGTATTTTTAAAATTATATTTTTGACATCAAAAATTACAGGTTCTCAGACAAAAACAAAACTGAATGTGTATATAAATGACAAACAAAGTAATAAATTCATAAACAACTACACCAGATGCAGTGGTGTATATTCTAGGCTAACTGGGAAGCCCAGTATAAGCAAAGAAAAAAAAAGTAATGGGAATATCGGGTAAATCATTTAATTATAATATGAATACAAATGAAGGAAAAGACAAGTGGGCCAAAGTTAATTGAGCTTTCATACTTAGTGATAGGCTTCGAGTGCATCCACCACACCAAAGATCACATT